CAAAAAGCCCCCCCCCCCCCTCTCAACTCCACGGTCCCTTTCCGCTCCGTGGCTCGGCCGCGCTGGGTGACTGACCCCTGCCCTTCCTGCTCAGTGCGGCAAGGCCAAGCCCTGCACAGGCGTTGAGCCCTGCTGCTAGAATCGCAGCAATTTCCCTCCCCCCAGCCTTCTAAGTGGGGTGTGGGGAACCCCAAATAGATGCCCTCCAGCCACCCTCCTTCCCACTGAGGCCCAGCTACACTGCAGCCTGTAACCCCAGCAGGGTGCATTCAGCCAGTCCCTGCTGGGCAGACAGGGGGAACAAACTGTGAGGACCTTCTCATGCTTGGTAGCATCCTGAACCAAGTCTGCGCTGCCTTGTGACATTGCTCAGGCCAGAAAACATTTCATACTCTCTGCACATTCTTCCGGCAGCCTGGCAAGGGGAAGGATTTACTATCACAATGAAATTTTTTCCCCCCTCTATGCTGTGACACTAAGTGTGGTGCCACTGTATTGCTTGTGGTGTAGCCATGCACCAACTCAACAACTCTATGCTCGGTATCTCAACAGTGCCCCTGCAAAGGATTCTGTGGCACAATACAGATGGATGATTTTGAATATAACAATGCTCGGGTAGTGTTGATAAACTTTGCACTATTTTTTCATACAGTTATGTCAGTTAAATATCTGCGCCCCCCCTGCACACACAGCTGCAGTGATATCAGCTCTAGATACTTGTCACCTTTCCCAAGTTTACCCTAAAAGCAAACTTTTACCAAGCACAGTCATGGGTTTGGGAGAGGCTGTCCATTTCTCTTTCATCATCATGGGGCTTCCATGTGTGCCCTGTGTCATCCTCCTCTCTAGCTATGTCCTTAAGGGCACATTTACACAGCAGGGCTAAAGCTGAAATAAGGTACACAACTTGAGCTACGTCAATTGCATAGCTTAAGTTGAAATAGCTTATCCCACTGTCTACACAGCAGGAAATCCGAGGACTTCTCTTACTCCTCATAAAATGAAGGTTACAGGAGTTGGAGTAAAAAGTCTCCCAGCTCAACATTATTTTGACATTACGTCAAAATAACGGCTTGCAGGCTGTGTAGATTCAAACTGACATTATTCCAAAATAACACTGCTGTGTAGACGTATCCAAAGGTGGGCTGGATATTCAATTTATGTCCTTCATTAGCAATTTTATTGCTCTACTGAAGATCTAGTGTCCACAGGAGTCAGTCTCCTGCATGAGGTGACAAATGTAAAATTGGTGCCTGGTTCATCTGAGCATTGTCTAAAACAAGAAGGATATGTCTAGACTACATGGCTCCGTCGACGGAGCCATGTAGATGAGTTTACTAAACATAGGAAAATGAAGCAGCGATTTAAATAATCGCCGCTTCATTTACATAAAAATGGACGCTGCGTTGTGCCAATCAGTTGTTTGGCGGCACAGCGGGGCAGTCTGGACGCTCCGCGGTTGACAACGGAAGCCTTTGTTGACCGCTCCGGTAAACCTCATTTCACGAGGCATAACGGAGCGGTCAACAAAAGCTTCCGTTGTCGACCGAAGAGCATCCAGACTGCCCCGCTGTGCCGCCAAACAACTGATTGGCACAACGCAGCGTCCATTTTTATGTAAATGAAGCGGCGATTATTTAAATCGCTGCTTCATTTTCCTATGTTTAGTAAACTCATCTACATGGCTCCGTCGACAGAACCATGTAGTCTAGACATACCCGAAGTGATTGAAAAGCCTGAACATTAATGTCTTTGCTTTATTTGTTGTGTGCTGGCCAGGAAATGATGAAAAGACAATTGAGGCCTATACATTCTTGTTCTTGGGCTCTTCCATGGATTGCTCCATCAAGGGCTAGCCATTGTACTCTAAACATTGCCCCATGTTGGGCATGATAAGGTGGTGGATGATTACTGAGGAACTCAATTCTGTGACGGCCATGGCCATCTTACCATGATTGCAGTGTATGGTCACACCAACACCAATGATGCAGCTGCAAATAAGTTTTAATAGCAAATGCACTCAGTTCTTAAACTGTGAGATGATCATGATCTTGGGCAACTTTAACGCATGGGTAGGAAAGGATAATGACATCTGGGCATGGACACTCAGGAAGTTTGATATCAGTCAGAAGAACAGCAACAGACAGCAACTGCGGAATTTGCACTGCCAGTGTAACAATTGCTGATTTAGTTTTCTGTCAGCTGAAGATTCACCAGCAGTCCTGGTACAGCTCCAGAGTTTCACTCTTTCTTCTCTGGGGTTCTCCAAATTTATCTCTTCTTTTGGTCAATCACTTTTGTGTCCTATGAGTGCATTGTAGTAACAGATCTTACTCTTGCTCTGAAGTGAGGTCATTGGCAGAGCTGTTTGAAAGCCCATGACCATTACTGTGTAAATGGGTGTTGCAGGTAACAGTTACAGTACATTGGTAAACCACGCCAAATAAGTGCCACTAAAAGGAAAGAACCACTAAAAATAAAATGGGGAAATAAAACAGAAATTCCACAATTATTTTATAACATTAAATGTAAAACGCATACTATGCGATTCATTTAATAAATATTTATTCCTCAAAAATGAAAATGCACAAGTTAATTTTGTCTCAACATGATTGAAATAGTGCTGAACACCATCCCTCAGAAGCTGAAGAGACTGCACCTTACAAAGTTCTTATCTTTTTCATGTGAATTTTATTTGTCTGGGCTAATAGGAGAGACTTGCTTGTCATAGTTTTCTCTGCATTCTTGGACAGAATCTTCAGAAAGCCATGCACAGTATGGTGTGCTTTTCAAATTTAAAATTGCTCAAGAGGAGACAGTTATTCCCTCTGGGGATAGTTGTATAGTCATTATTGGGTGATTTCTCAGGTTATACTAGCCATGCTGCATGAACATTAATGTAGATTCTTCTAGATCTTCCTTTAAGTTTTCCTCTGCTTCTTCATTTGCAGCATCTAGCTGTGGATCTCCCTTTCTTACCACTACTGCAGCTCACTCATTCTAGTGCTGAGCTCACCACCACATAAAAGCTGCAGCTGGGACATCCTGCAGCAACTTACCTCTTAAGCAACAAAGGCCCATCAGATATATCACATCCGTGTTCTGGCTCCATTTGTTCCACATTTCAAAGAACTGGCCATAATCTACAAGTACTGTAATGTGTTGGGATCTGAGAACTTCAGAGAGTGCTTCATTATATACTCTCCAGTGGCAGGGACCCAGAATAAGACTCTTGGGAACAAATATTCTTTGCACTGCACCCACTGTTATGAAACTGACTGACCAAGCCTGACTGGGCAGACTAAAATGTAAGACTCACTTCAAACACAGTTCCCAAGTAATTATTTACTTTAAGAAAGGAGCATCAATCTGAAACCATGTTTGAGACTTGTGCATTTTACAGAACTATTTTCAGTGCTTCGTTATTAAGGTGAAAGGCACCTTGCAAATAAAACAGGCTCTCATCACTGCCACGAGTGACCTCTTAACTCCAGCCCTACTGCACATGTGGAGAAAGTGTATGCATCCTGAGGGTAAGGTATGCTGAGAGGTCCAGGGTAGTGATGAAAAGTCTCTAATGCAAAAGAGATAATTCAACAACACTGGGCCTCCATTATCATCCTCATTTATTTTCAATACTAAAATATTCTCCACTCAGGCTTCTCCAATACACCAGGTCAAGAACATATTCTACTGCCTGCTTCATGCTTTTTTGATTAATTCTCACTATCCTTAACATTCTAAAATATAATACAAGAAAAATATCTGAACCCTCTCCCTGCTACTATTCAGGAGAACCTTTTTATGAAGTCTTTGGTCCAAAGGGTTTGATCCGAAATCAGACTGATGATTGCAATCACTCTAAATGCTCCATGTTTTTGGCCAAGCACAGTGAGGTCCTACAGATTCTATGGATGTTAAATGACATTTAATCAGCTAACCAACTAGTTGACGGAATTTCCATTGACTAGTCGATTAATTGGTAAGGGGGAGGAAATGCAGAGCTGCAGCAGGGTTAGCTCCCAGCCCCAGGAGCTAACCCCACTTCAGCTCTGCCTTTTAAATGTATTAAGAGCTGACAGGTTCTTAATACATTTTAAAGGCTGAAGTGCAGCGGGGTGGACCGGGCGTCGTACCTGGTTCCCCCTGATGCGCTTGTACTTTTTACATGAATTGAGAGCTGCCAGAAATAGAGATGGGAGAGTGGTACAGGCAGCTTGTGGGAGGTGGAATAGAAAGATACAAGGAGCCCCTGATGAATGCAATGAGC